TGCTGCAGTAATTGACACAAAAGGTTGATTTCACTTCCTGTCAGTCTGTACACGCCACAGCATTAAAACAAAGGATGAAAAGAATATTACAGTGTTTCAGGCTTAGTCTTTTTCCAAAGTCCAGTGATTAGTGAACAAAGAATACTCTTATCAGTAACTTCATCAGGTCCTACAGTTCTGTCTATGTTCATAATATTTAAAGAAATATTGTTGTTAACGACACTACAGTGTTAACTCACATTGAATCCGTAATACCGAAAGCATCTGTGAGTGATAATATGCATAAAAGCGTAATACTTACCTGAATATGAGGTAAGATTGCAAAAATAAAAGAGGATTTACGAGTTTATAGATGTCACAGCAGGACACACTGACTGCACCTGTTTGGTTTGCACTCAGAGAAATAATACTAATTAAGGAGTATCACAAGAGCTTTGTAGGTTTGAGGGAAGATCTCAAGGGATCACGGTTGACTTCATGCGTTCCAGCTTTGCAACGTTAACAGATTGACCAAGAGTCACACAAGAGAAGAAGGTAGAACACAAACTTAGAGAGAACATGTATTCAGTATATTCGCGAAAAGTACGATTCGCAGGCCATGTCTTCACATAAAATCAGTCTTTTTCACTTCGTTAATGTCAAGTCTCAATATTTTTGTTATTCCCATTCGGACGGGAAATTGACTCCCGAGTACTTCCTTGAAAGGAAACAAGAGATCATTTTACAGTGCTTTGTTTATACGGATATTTAAACTGCTACAGTCAATATCAGCAACAGGATTACAGTCAATTTGCCAACAACATGCTAACTCCATGCATTTGACATTAACCTTATTTTATGCATACTTCACTCTGTGGCCACTATGGGGTGACACTCGGATATCACCTCTGTTTGTGCGAAATAATGGCTTTCTTTAGAATTACACAACCGCATTTCATTCACGAGAAATAATGAAAATTATATGACTCAAGTGAGAAGCAGCAGCGACTGGCTGATGTCTATCCCAATACAGATAAAATACGTCGGTGAGTTCTCCCTTGTGAAGGTTACTCATACTGTTTGTTATTCAGTCTCATCAAACCGTCTACCACAGTGAGAGCCACTTGTGTATTACGGTAATGAATTCATTGAAGGTGGTGTATATAAATTCAAATGGACTGAAAGGGTAGAAATTGAATGCATCGAGTCTACGACTGAATTCCAAACAGACAATCAACGCTCCTATTGGGTGTATAATACCAAATGAAAGTTAGTGGGTGAATAAGTGGGCCTCGGGATAATTATGTCACAGGTTAATACCCCAGAATTGACGAGATTTAGGCTGAAGTGAGTCTTCAAAGCTAACTAATTCACACTCTAAAGATGTTTGTAATACTGGTAAGATAATATTTTTTCTAACTAAATACAATCAGTTCACATGTCTTCTTCCATCATTCAGTTACCAGATTTCCCTCCTGACTCGTCTTCATCCCTGACATTCTGTAGAGAAATAAATAAACTAGTGAGTCATTGTCTCGTCTCCTTCAGTACTACTAGTGATATCATCGACAGGAGGCTCACTTGTAGTTACTATCACTCCAATGGAAATGCTTGAGTAAAAGATACCTATGGAAAATAGTAATGTTTAAATCTATGCATAAATGTTTTATAGGAGAGTGACTATTATTCTTTGTGTTCCGAGTACAGCGTAGAACTTGAAGTTTTAGTGATGATCATGGTGCTATCGTAATGACGTGTGCCGCTGAATCCATTGGAGTAACTCAATGCGACAATCAATCCATCTCCATCGTACAAATAACTCTAGATCAAGTGGAATCATACCTTACAAATACATACATATTACCACTATTCCAGAGAATATAGTAGTCGCCTGATGATAAGTAAGCGTGGAATATACGTCTTTATTCTTTTAACGTCTTAGAAGCAGCAGGTTTACTTTTTACGGAGTACGATCGCTAGGCTTACTTTAATCTGACCTCTTTTCGGGGTTAGTAAACCAGAAGTGGTTCACGAGTTCAGCATCGACCAGGAATCGAACTCGGACCGCTTCTGTGGTGGATGAGCATTTCACCACCAAATGACATGTATGATGAAATGCATAACGACCAATTTCAGCACTGAAGATGCATATGTGTATATATAACCCTAACTACTAATGCTTTTTCGAAAATAGCATTGATTGATGAATACAGACGATTTCTGAAGACACTCGTAATGCAGCAAAGGGAGACATTATTATTGTACGAACTATCATGCCATGAATTTGTCAACAACGATTGCAAGTAGATAAGGACACAAAATACCACGCGAACAAACATCAACTCTTATAGCCTAAACAACCACTAACGATCCTTCTAATTAGTTGGAAGACTGTTCATGGAGAGTGATGGAAAGACTTGCATACATTGTACTGACAAATAAAGACTCTCTAGAAGTCTTGATGATGATTTATACCAAATGTCACACAAATTCAAAAATCTACAGGCGAAATCCAGCAAGTTGTCAGAAGGAGAAGAAGTGACAGATAAGACAAGACTTCTGATGAACATACGGAAGACACAGGTGGTAAAGATACCCAACCAGTTTCCTCAATAGTCGCTGAATCTTTCATGAATACATTTCAAGAAAATATCTTTTCAAACATACTCGACGCAGAAAATATGGCTGAGATACAACACCTTGATGTCACTTTCTCTCGTTGTGCTCAAAGGAGCTCTACATAATTCAATCTTGGAGAAACTGAACAATCTATCTCCCAGCATCCAGGTTACATCGGCAGCAGGCAGAATCAGACTTCGGTGAACTACCATTTCTGCACTGCCTAGCCTAGTTAAGAGGAAAGAAAACATAATTCAATATATCTGCATGTACTCAGGAAGAAAACTCACTCCTACAACAAATATTTAGGCTTCGGATCATCACACCCCATCACCGCAAACGTGTCAGGCGAGCACATTCTTTGGTGTTAACGGAGGAGAAGGAGGGAGAAGAAGAAATATCAAACATTACTGAGATTCTCAAGAATAAATAGATACCCAAACAATTTCGATAACAAAATCAATACCAAAAATAAATATGGTCGAAAACAAATTCCGAAGACATGTGCCTCAACAGTTGTCACTCCCCATACAGATCACAAACATCAGACGATATCAGAAGAGTAATCATTCGGCACGACATCAGAGTCTTCTTCAAAACATGAGAAAAACACAGATTCCAAAACAACCTCGTCCACATAAAAGACCAAATTCTTAAGGATTCTCAATCTAATCGCGTCTACAAAATTAAATGCTTGGAATGTGTGATGCACGATATACATCGGACTAACATTGCCACAGAGAAGTGAAGATCCAAAGAAATGAACACCACAGAACCGCCGCCGCTGTTCGATCACCAGGAAATCCAGTTAGTCAACTAGAAATGCTTGAAGAAAAATCACCATGTGGTGAGAGCTGTCTACTAGCCAAATGGGTAGACAGTAATTTACGTCAATATTTACGTTCCCAAGATTTGTCGTGAGAAAATGTGAACAAAGATTGATTGATCGACCACAGCAGACTTTGCGTAGGCGGATGCAGTTAACATATAGAGGATTTGACATTCAAGAAACAGTCACAAATAGATGAAAGATTAACTTTACGTGAGAAACAACCAATCGGAAGACTGTGTTTGTTTGCTTAAATATCCATAGTAATTTACATGAAAATATATTTAAATATGCGTTGATTTCCTTAATAAATGATCTGTTGCCTGACTCTTGCCTTCTGTCGTTACAACCACACACGGGTCGTATACACGTTGCATGAAATCAAGTTGCGAAATTGATTTTGACAATACTGAAATAATCCAGAAAAATTTCAGTAACCACAAGGAATATCTGATATCATCAGAAGCACTTCAAATCATTAAATGGAATCGAAATTGTCTGAGTAGTAGTGATGAACAAAAACAGAATTTGACCGGGTGGTAACACCCATCTACCCAACCCACATGGAATGACGAAATCAACGGTTTTGTTATCCCTACCAATTGACCAACCTGACAACTTAAAATTACCAAATGCAGATGGATGACGACTAACTTGCGATATATGAACTGAAATTTTGTAAATTCTGGTTTAATATTACTACACTGATAAAGCTATTCGCAGCAGCACTAAGTAGTATCGAAACAATAGTAAGAACAACGACAGTATCGTTTTGTTTTTCATTCATTGAGAAATACAAAAACTTCTATAATAATGACTATAGCACATATTCGGTACCCAAATCTTTTCAAACTTTAACAGTTCGAATTCGGGTCTTGACACATATAACCGACGGTTATTACTCTGAAATCAATGCGGGAATCTGTCGTGCTCCAAATTTTCAAGACTGATGTCAAGTCATTCTTTGTTTCCATATGGTTTAGAGACTTGACACATGAGGCATCTAAAACACTTCCAGCACAGGTTACTATAGACTCTCATCGACATCTGTCTCCTAAGCTCTCTACTGATGAAGTAAAATGGCAAGACAGGGGGTTTACAATAACCAACTCACTGGGAACGATTCAAACAAAAACCTATCGGCTGATAAATATGTAGATCTATTCGACACATACTCTAAGAGCACTGTTCAGTCACCAGGGCATCAAGTGGAATCGCATGAAAAACGACGAGTTGAGTGTGCAGGCAGGCGTACGACGATAAAATAGAAGATTGCATCACATGTCAACAGGAAACGAAAGCTTGTGTGTGTGTGTAGGTGTAGTCGTGGAGCCAGCTAAAACAAAACATCACAGAGGATAGAATACAATGCTGATGCACTGCTACAGGGGTCCATGCTCCAGGCAAGGACGAATGATAATAATAACAAAAACCTCAAACAGCAAGTCAAGTAGTTTGTTTGCTTTCAGCTACATTTTCGCATAGGAAGAAAGAAAGCTAAGACAACTTGATTTACTAAACCTTTTATTCAATATTAAAAAATATACAAAGGCTTACAATCAGAAGAAAGGACCTCATCGATTGACACAACACAACACAACAAATTGAACTTGAATAGATGTAAATAGACAAAGGCACTCACTAATCATTCATCTTATTATTATAGGAAATTAACGAGAGTTCAACTGTCATTTAGTGGATGCGTGCGTGCGTGCGTGCGTGTGTGGGTGTTTGTGTTTACGTTCAAACTGTTTTAAAGCCTGTTCGAAGAGATTCCATGTTATCCCACGTTCAACTAGATGACATTGTACACCTAATCCACAGATATCCTTGATATTACGTTTCTCATCATCAAAAAACACCATATCTGCATACTCTATACCAGATAATTCATGAAATCTACAAAAGAATGAAAATAATAATAATAATAGCTTTATTCCAAACAGTATTTGTGGTACAGGTATGGAATTTTCAGCGTGCATTACAATATTGCATCTAATTACCTCATAAATTTTATAAGATTTTAAAAATCAAAAGCAACAACAACAAAAAGAAAAAAAAGAGAAATAAAAAAGAACAGCTTTGCATTCACATATTTAAACAATGCACCACAGGATATGAAATATAAAATTAGTGTGTAATAGAATATGTGAGCAACAATATAATAGTAACAAAGAAAGGAGAAACAAAAGCTAATAGGAACTATTTGTTAGAGTGCCGCAGTAAGGTGATCGTGTCATGCCTAACAGTTTTCTCATCACATAACAGCTGTGCCAGATAAGGTATTGTGGAGTTTTTATACTTGGTAGTCCTGGCATATAGCCTCCTATAGTTGCTTCTAGTTCTACCAGATGAAATGCAAGGAGAGAGCTGCGTATACAGAGGGTGTTCAGGGTCTGACAATATAGAATTCGCTAGTTTCTTACATGAAATTATATGTCTATCCACAATAGTGTTAACCAGTTGGTTTAACGAAATCCCACTTCCCCTACTAACAGCTTTTAGTGCCCTACGCGGCGACGCAAAGTTTTTCTTAAGTAGTCCAGGAAAGATTAAAAGTTTAACACTGTGTTAAAGAGACAGAATGAGACCAGAGTGTCCAAAGCACAAACACAAACAGTGTGGCGTGACGATGCAGATTGATAGAAACCAGTCAAGTGTTTATTCATCAAAAATCGGAATCTAGTTCACGTTGTGGATGTGAAACAGCCTCATTGGACAGCCTCGTTTAACCTTGAGCCGACTGACAATCAATCAATCAGAACAACTTATTCTCCAATGATGTCGCCAAACTCTACTCTGACGAAGAATGCATAAATGTGATGTGTGTTGTTGTTTCCTGAATAAAGTAGTCCGTTATCCCATCCCTTATCCTCTCACCCGTTACAATAACACATCAATCTTTTCATATAACACAGTGTTATAACAGAGTGCTAGTACAAGGCAAGAAAATTATCATCCTTGGAGAGATTTGAACACTTACAGAGGATACCGAGGCGTATTCCCCAAACACTTGGACCGTTTCATAGACATGAATATCAACGAAAAAGTATTTCCCATTCCACAATTGAATGTTATGGGGAAGGTGAGATATACACAAACACGACGCAGTGGGAGACTGGCTTCGCGTATTTTGTGTCTTTGCTAAACCATATATACTCTTGGTTTCTCAAAAGAATGAAAACTGAGCAGTTAGTTAGTCAATCAACCTTGAAATTTATGATCACATTTGAGACCAAGAGGATCAAGTATACCAAGACTATATGGTTTACTAAAGACACACACAAAGCCGATCTCCCAATGCGTCCAATTCTAGACATGTCTGGTACCCCACTCCATACCATTCAACTGGGAAATGGTTAGTTGATATTTTAGAACACGTAAGTAAAACAGACGTGCCACCACTCGCTTCATGACACCATTCAACTTGTCGACTGCATACAAGTATGCTCTCTTTCTCCTGACATTGAATCACTATTCACCAACGTTCCAATCACAGAAACTGTCTGTCAATATTCAGACGAAAACCAGCTGAATATCGGATTACCAACCGTTTATTTAAAGAAACTAGTACAACTACTAATGAGATGCACCCTTAATGTGCAATTCACGTTCAACAATGTCATTTACAAACACAACGATGCGACTGGAACGGCATCTCCCCTGAGTTCATTGCAGACAGACTGTTTCATGACTAGCATCGACAATCGACCATTCAAGTCAACTATTGATAATTTTCAATTGTATGCCACATATGTGGATGACATCTTTATTATCTGTGATGACAGTCATCATCTTAATCAATTGTTACAGAGATATTCAACAGAGATTCAACAACTGTCATCCAGCAACAAAGTGTACTCTTCAAATAGAAAATCAATCTGACATTCCTTTTCTTGATGTTGAACTTACAATAAGAGCCGACTCACACCATCTCTGGCTTAGTAGACGTGATATCAGGCTGGCTGTAAACCAAAGCACGTGTGTACTGCTCAGCAGTTAGCTCTGTCCTCCTGTATGGCTGGCTGTGAATGAGACATGGCCATTGAAATTGGAAGACATGAAAAGGCCCGCTAGCTGTCTTCGATCATTGGTATCTGCGTTCTATCTCCCATGTTACGTGGTGGTATAATACGCTGAGCAATATTGAGGTTAGGCATCGGTCGAGGGCCAGGTAAAGAGGGAAAATCAATCGACGAGGTTGTGAAACTACACCGATTGAGATGGTTAGAACATATGTTTCGCATGCATCCCTAGCCATCACCTTCCTCGATAATGAGCAATGTTAGCTGACATACGATGGATCAGGTTGACAAAGAGATAGCTAGTGGTGGTCAAACCAAAACATGGCTGACCTCATCACATTTACATGAGTCTAACCAGTCCATGAAACCCACTAAAGTTAGTTCAAACCACGTAGGGAGGTGTAAAATTCCTGACTGTTAGGGTCCTCGTGATGGTAAGATCCAATGAAGGCTGGAGGCAATTGGCGATATGGCTCAAACTGATCGTTCTTAATAGCTGGCGCAGATGAATTCACGCTTTATGGTTTATAACACCTAATAAAATTCTACTGTTCTTCCATATTCCTATAGTTTCTCACACTTCTCTTTATTATCTCTCTTGAATCTCTTCTCTTGCTTTGTGTGCTACATGGAGTGTGGCACCTCGAACTACTGCACATCTGTGCGAAGCTCTACGTTGAAAGGAGTCAGTCAGTTACAACCACATCATCGATTGACTTGCTCCACACACTCACTCCACCCATCACCGGGCCCTTTTCCGTCTAACCTCAATATTGTTCACCATATTTAACACAGAAGACAGAATGCAAACATCTCCAGTAGAAGAAAATTAGCTTTGTCGTATATCTCCCACTTTCAATAGCTACAGCTCATAGTCAGAAAGCAGGAGGACACAGCGAACTGCTGCGCAATCCACAGTTCCTTCACAATCAGTAGTCGGGTATCGCGTCTACGCCACACACACACACACATGATGTAAGTTGGTGTCAACTTCTAGGAAAAAGATCAAGACACAGTCTTCAATATTTCCAACTGAGTAAGTGTTAAATAAACAAAAATATGTGGAGGGATGCTTAAATAATTGCCCGGTTCGACAATGATGAGTGTCTGATATATTTCAAACTGAGGGGAATAACGATAACCACAATAATTCCAAACATACCTTTTAAAATGGGTAATTTTGCAGCCAGGATATATTACCTTATAATCAAATAGATCTGACCAGCCTAGAATTTGTAAGAGTTGTTCAGCCACTCTGATTGCAGCAGTACTGGTAGATGGATAGAGGAGAGACAGAGAGAGACAGGAAAAGAGATAGTGGGCACGCAGCATTTAACTTTTCAGCACATTTTTAAATAATACAATTCTTAAACTAACTGAACGAGTTGTTTAGCTAGCCAGCTAGCTACCCAGCTGACTTCATCGTTTCTACAAAGCTACTTGACAATTAATCAATCTCAGTGTACGTCAGTGGTAGAATGCTCACCAGCCACACATGTGGTCTGGGGTTCGATTCCCGGTCGACGCACTCCTTCACACCTAGTCAAACTGGTAGTAATCCCAGTGAAGAGGGAAGGTTGGGCGTGAGATTAGCAACCCCACCCTGTAAAACTAAAACCATTCCTACTGCAACTTCAAATCTAAAGCTTGAAGTTGTATGTGTGGTGACTCGAACTGCCGCACATCTGTGCATAGTTCTACGTTGAAACTAGTCAGTCAGTCAGTTCCACTTGGAACACAAAGGAATAAAATAAATAAATACATAATAATAATAATGTAGAGGTTTTGTCACATATGAATATCAGTTAGAGAATCATTGGAAACACTACACAGAGCACTAGACAGCTAGTTGTTCTATCCTACTCTGGAGACGACTCCATCACAAGCTGAATGTTCGAACTCGACGTCTTTAGGTCAACTAATTTAACCATACAGACAGACACTGGGCCTGGAGCATGAAGTTTAACCTCTGTCAATTTGTGGTATGAGAGCGACTGACAACCAGTGTCATCGATGTCCATCCAACACACTTCACCCTAACACGGTGAACCGCACTGATCACAACTTCTTACTACAACTTTCAGGACATTCACATCCAGTAGTCAATAATCAGCTGAGGACTGATATCAAAATTGTGTTCTGTAGGGATTCGCATTAATTTTCAATGGTTAGATTTCGTGACAGATCTGTGACGACTATTTGCACAATATAACTAGAAAATCTTTTACAAATTGAGACGGTTATGTAATACTTCCTCAGAAACTTAATGAGTACCTAACAATATATAGAATTCACAACCAGAACACGATCTAAGCAATCTAATACGTATTTTCGGTAAATTCTCATCAGACTTCACAATCACATAATAAAATATCATTCATAGACATTCGGAAAACAATGTGGGTCAATAGAACCAAGTATAGTCGAGGAAAATGTCAGCAGAATAATAATAATACCTTAGATTGTTGGAGGCAATCAGCAGGAAACCTTGGACCTAGGTTTCGTGCTAGTTGGCACTCGTCAGCAACCTTGAAGGAACTCATATCCGAGATTCGAACCCGTTTCACCCAGTGCTGCAGTCAAGGACGTTACCATTGAGCTATTCGGTCTCGCGATTGACCTCCTGTAGGACTGTAGTGGATACTGTGATTGGACACTAGTAACTAGTGTGATGTGTCTAGTTCTTTCTTTGGTGCAGACTGAATTCTATCAGTCAGGTTTGCAATGTGACCACCATTCTAGGTAGCTCGCCATCACGGTGCACCAAAGAAAGGACTGGACACATCACACTAGTTACTAGTGTCTAATCAAATAATAATACCTACAGATAGGGTAAAGGTGGATACCGTAGACAAGAAACCTTCGTATCTTAAGTCACAAAGGAGGAATTGCAGCAGACATTCTAGAATGTCAACCTAATAGAGGAGTAGACAGAACATGCGAAACGGGCACTCAGTTCCTCAACTAAACCAGTACTCACACAATTAGTCGAGCTAGATACGTTGGCCGTATTTAGAGGGCTTTATCCAGACGCGCACGTGAACATTTACCTGTATGGTTGAGTTAAGAGGTAATCAAATGCGTAAATAGCGCAGTCTTAGCCCACTTGGTAGATACTGGACATTCAATAAAAGTAGAGCAGATGTTCTCGCTTATCTATCACGTTCCTGGTAATCTATCTGGAGAAGTTTGACTACGTCTTCTATCAGCGGTAGCAGTTAATACCAGAAAACCGTGTCTGTGTATGCAGAAGAAGTACACCCAACCGCTATGTCTACTTTGGCCTACAATAAGACCAAAAAACCCTCCATAAACATCGACAATTTAAATTCCTGTCACAATTTTTTCCTTTGTTTCATTGAATAATCTTCGTGTAAGAACCTTTACGACTTCATGGCCTTTCTCATTACTTTGATTAAATTACGTTTACGTAATGCCTTTCAAACATATTATTATATGTACACAATCTTGTTTATTCCACTTCACTAAATTCATTATTATTAATTGACAATCATACACTATTAATACTTTAAACCACACTACCGTTATTACTTCACCAACATTAGTATTGTTACTTGTCATTCGTTGGACTTACATCTAGTCTATCCCCAATGTTAATTTATTTTTCTGTTGTATTCATTCCGTCTTACATACCAACCCATACACTCACCTTTGGAAACATGCACTTTTGTTGACTACAATAACACATACACATTATTGAGTTATTTCATGGTCTTATTGAACATGCGTATTCTTAATGATAATAAAGACTAACTGACCATTATTCCATCCTATCTTATACCTGTTCCACAATACATCTGATATAATTCTAATTTGCCTTTAATTACTCGCTATTGTATGCTTAAAAATTAATGGATTTATAATTGTAGAGCCTGAAGAAGAGTAACTTTATTGACACCACAATTGTTTTCACTACCTATTTTATTTCCCCTTCCTCTTATTTAATGTTTGCTCCTCCTAATGGGCTTAAATGGTTCTATGATCCTTAACTTGTGAAGTCAGAATAGATGAGAATGTCAAAACCAAACAGAATTGGAACAGCAAGACAAACCTTCATCAATCCGAAATCAGTTTGGAAATCTAGAAACAATCAGCATTAGGAACAAGCTTCAGTTTTGCAGAACTTAAAATTGTTTACTTTCATTAACAGCAACCTCCTTCAATACGTACTTAAGATCAGATGGCCGAAGAAAAAGGACAAACGACAGAGAACTCCGGAAACGAACACTGTGCGTCCGTGGCACAGTGGTTAGGACTCTCGCCGACCATGCACATGGTCCGGGGTTCGATCATCTGCCGACGCACACCTGATATCTATGGTCGGCCTGCAAAATTTTGGCTACCGATATCAAATGCTGAAAATTCCATACCTGTACCAAAAAATACGGTATGGAATCAAGCTGTAATCAAAATGAAAAAAATAACCGAGAACTGACGGCTCAACATATACGCCGAAGGGAATGAAAACAGATTGAACAAATGTTGAAAAGACCGTTGAGTGACATCATGCTCCAGGTAGGCCCTCAAGTGGGAAATGACGGGTAAGGCGTATGTGCAGTAGTGACATGGACGAGATCATGTGAGGGGTAAATGAAGGCTAATGTAGAATCGTGGAGCCGTATAAAAAGGACTGCACAGGTAAGTGGAGATGTGGTACTGAAGACCTATGTTCCACTTGGAACCCAAGGGAATAATAATAACAATGATAAATTTCCGAATTATTATTATTGTGAATTGATACGAGGTTAAAAAATAGAGTGATCTAAGCGAACAAACGTCGAATGACCTTCAGGCAGTCAATCACAGTTTATAGGCTTGATAGATAAGGAGTTTAATCACAGATAATAAATGCTGTTCACCATTTTAGGGGATGAGTGCCTCAAACTATGCCATAAACAATATTTCCCAACGGTAACCGCAAATACACCAGCTACCGACACTTAAACTGCAATCCCTGAAATGAACTCCTAAACTCCCGTGAAAAGTTGGCTGTTATTCACACAATATTTTGAACAGAGATATCGTGTTCAACACTTTTACACTTCTGTAAACATCATTTTCAAAAATAAGGCAGTACAATTGTTCTCCCCCAAATCATTTTGGCCTGTTCCATAGAAACAAAAAAAATATCTCAGGAAAAACGGTATGTAACGGCTAAAAAGCGAAACGAAAGATGGGAACTTAAAGCAGATAAAACATCTCGCCGCTCCACTGAAATCCCGTAAGTGAAGCGATTTCCCTCGTAATTATCTGCAAGACTTGCCTGATTCTCTTCGAAAATTTCCAGAAAGCTAAAGGGAAGCTATGCTTAAATTTGCGCATAATTACGCTACATGAATACTAATGTATTTTAAAAACGAGATTAAGTCAAAAATGACAACAAAATATTCATTCCTTCATCATCGTTTCCATCACGTTTTTGTAATCTTTGTTTCAATTTATCGCTCAAATCATACAGACAGTTTTCCGTAAATAAAATCTATGCGTTTATTTATTTCGACTTCACTATTAAAATTCCTGATAAAGTTAGAACCGATAGCGTAATATATAAAGAAAGTCACAGAATACAACATTTTCTTGTTCTTTCTAAGTCCCGCTGCTTTTCGGACTGTTTACCCCTACCTTCCTTTAACACTGTAATTCAATTTTCAGTGACTACCTCTCTGCACATGTGTTTTAAGCTACAAACATTTTCGTGCCTCTATGAAACTTCCTTTTGAGATATAAAAGGCTATACGGTTCCCACAGCACCAACCACTATCAACGGAATAAATTTGAAAGGGGTCATTTCCTTTAATTTACTAGAAAGCACCGTTTCAAATACATGTAGATAGAACGGATAAGGATGTCAAAACCAGATTTAGAACGGCAAGGCAGACACTCATCACTTTGGAAGCCTGTACTAAGCATAAAAGACAAAATTCAAACTTTCAACGCCAATGTTAAATCAGCTTCTATTTATAGGTCTGAAACTTGGCGAGCGTTGCATTATCCTATCACAAAACTACCCTACAGTTTGCCTATTTAACCCTACTTTTTACTTGGTTACATTTAACCTAGGCGAAGGATGATTAAATGTGTCAAATTCCGTCGTAGGCCTATTCACTTTAACTACTACATTGATTCTTGTCTGAATCGGTAAACAGCACCAACATTTAAGTCCTTACCGTGAAGCACAAGCCAGTTTCACTGTGGTTGACGCTTTGATAACACTGGTATTAACAGCATGAGTATTTTCACAACAGAAAACTCACCGAAGTATTTTCTCTGAATCTGCATAGACATCAAGTATCTTCTTATATGAGTCATATATTACATTTTTTCTGGTGGACAGGGCAAAGTTGTAGAATTCTAAAGAAAGCCATACTTTCGCACAAATGGAGGTGATACATGATGTTCACACCATAACGGCCACAGCGTGAAATCTGTATAATTAGAAGCTTGACTGTTGCTCTTACCAAGATCAAATACAATGAGTTTAGGAAGACGCTGAAAACCTGACAAAGACCCTGATGTTGACATTTGCAACACCGAAACGCATTAATTCAACCATCCGCCTTGAAAGTCTACGCTACGATTTCAGATTCAGATTTTTTGATTGAGGGTATAAGGCTTGATGCCTATGTTAATCCTTTACTAGTGAATTACTGTGCTTGTCCAAAGCATTCTTGAGTGAATTGATTGAGGTTGCAAACACCACTTCTTCCGGGAGTCGGTTCCAGAAATTGATGACTTGGTGTGAGAACCAGTACTCCACACCACTATAGTTTCTACTTGGCTTTTGAAATCTCCTGCTATGTACCCTAAGGTGTTGTAGCGGTAAATAATTCTCCAAAATCATTTACCACAGCACTCATCACTGGACATTGGATGCTGACCCTCACTGTTCAAGTCGACTTGTTTAGCTGAAGGCTTCCGGTCAGGTATCTATACCATTTGGTACTCTGTCGTGTCACGTTCGTGCATGATCACTAGCAAGCTAAGCAATCATCTCGCACTCCGATTTGGTCCTGAAATATATCTCGTAATTTGGACGATCAAATATTCTCTTTTGCTTTTGCCTTTGGTCCACGAGGAACGAATACTATAGAAGTTGTTGTTGCGTCAGTATACTCCCTACAATCCGTCAAATGTCGATACCGTCAGCCTTTAAACTGGTGAGCCCCACCGCTAACTTCATCTTTGGTAAATACACAGACAAATCTGGTAAGTTCGTTCCATTTTGCATTTGTTCTTGTGCTATTTTCAAACTATATATATTTCGTCATGAGTGACCAAAGTCCTAAGGTCATTCGTATTCGCTCAACTGCCGAAACCATTCAGCTCCTACCATTTTGGCCAGATAATGCTGAATCATGGTTTCAGATGGCTGAGTCTGATTTCAGTGAGCATGGGATAACTGATCAACGTTCACAGTTCCTTGCAATTATTCATGGATTGAGAGCGTCTGGACGAATTATTTCGCAACGTCGAGTTAGGTGATCAGTCAGCCGTGAGCATGCTTACAAGAAATAGGGAAGTTATTGGTCAACGTCAGTTTGATGAAGGACTTTTCAGAGAACTTTTCTTATCCAAACTGCCACAGTCAGTACAGGCTTTACTTGTGATACTTCAGGATGTTATCATAGACGTCTTAGCTGTTTCTGCAGATAAATTCTAAAAATAGTTTTGACGGTCAGTTCCTGAAATATGCTCGGTGGCCGAACAGACTTCGAGGAAGGGTACTGCAGTGATAGAGTTATGCAACTCCATCCAACAGATGCTTAGGTCAAACATGCCTAGTAATTTCTCCTACCGTCGTCTGAACTCCCCTCAAAGGCGAAACTCACGTGGTCGATCTGAATCGAAGCCACGTTCACTAAACAACCCTGACTGGTGTTGGTGTCACAACACCTATGGCCGGGAAGCGAAATGTTGCCAAAAACCGAAAGTGATCCGACCTGGTGGGAAGGAAAATAGTAAATAGGTCAGGTCCATGGTCATTATTTAAAATTTTAAACACTGTGATTGAATCCCTTTTCTGCCTATGGTATAACAGGAGAAGAGATTTAAATTGTCTAGTCTTTCCTCAAATGATAAATGAGCAATGCCGAGAATCATACTTTTTGCCCCTCCATTGACCTTTTCTAGCATTTTAGAGTCCCCTTTAAGACAGTTCCAATACGGGCGATTCTAATCCAAATTGATTTCTTTGTGCTCACTTCCTGGTTGTAAGGTGAGGGTTCTCGGTCTTTGGAAAACCTCTGCCTAGTTTGTTCCACCCCTCAACTGTCGTAGCTCTGGTTGACTTTGAAAGGAGTGGTGCTGGGATTTATCATGTGGTTCGTAGTGTGCAGTGTGTTAAGACCGTGTCGTTATTGTGAGTGGAGTTGATCGTCTCACCCGTTAGTTGTCCGGCGTAGTGGAAAAGAGAGGGAACAATCACCGATTATGTAGACTTAAAAATAAAATAAAGAAAGAAAAAGTAAGAACTGACGGTTAATGAAATTTGTTGGAGAAGAGCTTGACTACACCTTTGACTTCTTAGTCACTCAAATCTTCATGATAGGAAAAAGCTTCAAGTAGGTGCAAGTTAAGGGATAGTTGCAAGTTGAAGAATAGCAACTAAGCAAGGACAAGCACACACGTGACTTTCAAACCGCCTACTGCACAGCCCGGCCATTTGGTCGAAAAGGGGAGAAACGGAGCTCAGTATGCATAGTGGACAAAGAATGTTACACGGAAACATGTCCTGCTTAGTACCTTTCACCATTCTCTGCATTTCTTTGCGAATGTTTCGTTTTTTACCCGGTTTCACCACCTTGATCTAACTGTGCGTCATATTTTCTTTGTTCGGCTGATTAGTTTCGGAGTGCCATTACTTACTTTATATCCTATCCAGTCATCACCGTAAATGTGGAGTGTATTCAATGGATGGATCCGATACCGCTGATATGAATTAGTATCAATGACATCGACTTCTTCTAGATCACTTCTTAGCACTTAAATAACTGTCTGCAGCCTCCTTTGAACTCTGTATTTCAAACTGGTATGCATTTGTCGTGGCTTTGGTTGACTCCTAAAGGAGTGTTTCGGGAGGGTAGCAATATCTGATTCGCGTTACGCGCGTCTGTAATCGGTTTCAGAATATACATTAGTTCGTTGTCTGATACCGTCAAAATTTTCAAACAGTGATATCACGATGGATGGTTAATATACGAATTTGAGTTCTAATTGAGCGGCATCAAGACTGTGCCTCTTTTCACAGTAACTTTCTTCCTTTCACTTTTTCACATGCTGGCTTTTGAAGCAACGTTTTCAGGAGTTACGCCGATGCCCACAGAAGTAATAACGTAAAAAAGTGCTTCACAGCCACTGACATTATTCTAGGTGAACCATGTTGTACTTAAACTCATATGCTACCTTATATTCCTACTCCTGTTGATGCTCTTAAGAGGTCTGTTAATGAGCTGGGACAAACGTTTGCTTATGGAACCGTAACTCTTAATGTTTATGATGCCACTTACCGCGAAAATTTTATTGCTCTTCCTCAACATGTAGATCTCAACCAAATGTCAACTCAGGAAATGCAAGTAGCTAATCATACGTGCAACACACAGCTATCCAAGCCAACACACCCGAAAATACGGACGTTTTTCTATTAGTTCATAGCCTACCGCTTCTTAGATATCTGATTAAGCATAACGAATATTCTTACTGCTGTTCCCAGAAGTTTTGTGATACAGCTATTGACCACATTCACACGGAAGTGATGGGACGCACTAAGTGCATGTTCAATACCATAGGTGTCAATGTCCAGGTCTAACTACCCTGGACTTAACGCTGTTCTTAGAAGACTTTCAGAAACTATTGTCAATAAACAACGCGAAAAACCAGAACACAAATTGTTAATTCAAGAATCCTATATTTTTGCGCCAATACAGAACCAACCACAGGGTTATTGTACACAAAGTCTAAGGATAAATGTCATAACAATTAATCACAATAATACTTCTGATAGTTTTTCTCTGTCTTCTAACAAACGATAGAACGATGACTGCAGTATCGATGACTCCCGCCAAAATATGGAGTTGGGTTTGAGCAAACAACCATGAATTGATCGTTCGTTCTTCAACTACTTTGACAATAGGATTCACCATTCCTGTAACTGCCAACATTAGGACCTTAGTAAGGTATGCGAGACAGGTGCCTATTGTACTAGCAATGATTGCATAAATCTCCATCTAGCTCATGGTGTTCACTACCGTTTCAATTCAGGGGCTCCGTCGAATCAATTCGCCTTGTCTCTACCTAACAACTCGTTATGAGAGTGGGCGATTTTAAGAGTATAGATGTCGTCCATGAAAGGATCCCATTTCAACGTGTGCCAAACGAAATGCACCCAAATAATAGCCTATTCACCAACAGTATCTCGTATGCCCTATCAAAGCACAGCGCACATGTTACTTTTATAAAAACACCCCAATTAGTAACCCCTAAATGAAACTAGACACAGCAGTTGAACTTACGTCTAGTAGTTCTCAAGTTACCAGCTGCCCCTGGAAGGCATCTGTCTGTAAAGATAACCGTGGAAAGAATGCTCACGATGGTGTCCTGCTTAACACTGGGAAGCCGAATGAAGTTATGGGGAATGTAAGCGTCAGGGTTGAGAATACTAATTAAAATATCTCGCTCAACGTACCACTCGGCTTATGTGCAATAATATCTTAAGAGGACATTTAGTGTAAAAAACACTAAGATTAATCCACCCTACTTCTTCCCTCATTAATAACCTCTGAACACAATCATTTGCAGTAATTTGGCTAGCGTTACGAGTCGAAATGACACCAACTTTATCAGTGAACGCCTTGCTCAACGCGTTTCACTGCCCAAGTATAACAGCAATTTAGAGGCTGAGGCTGTTGACGCTCACTGAGACTGCGACGTATATCAGCGCAAGATCTTATACACACAGCTCCTGTAGTATTTGTTCCGCGTAGACCAAAGTCAAAGCAAAATACCAAATTGATTGTTCGAAGCATGAAGTATATATTGGGACCAAAATCGAAGTGCGAGTTTGGTTGCTTAACTAGCTAGGGATTTTGCACGGACAACCGAACGTAACATGACAGAGTGAAAAACTGTGTGGATGCTTGATCATAAGCCTTCAGCTAAACAAGTCATTTGAACAGTGAGGGTAAGCAATCAACGTTGAGTGAAGAATGCTTTGCCTAATAAATCTAGGCAAATGCCTACCATTACAATATCTTAAGATTGCATTTATGGTACATAATTACGAAGAATAATCCACCCTACCCTTTCCCTTATCCCTACCCTCTCAAAAAAGCCATCTGTAGTAATCCGGATGGTGCTGTAACGGCAGAAGACAAGGGGCAAGCCATTGATTGTTTATTGAAATTTTTATGTACATTATTATTAGCGTTCTTCTTAGCAGAAAGTTAACGTCTTCTGATTGTTTGTTTTCCTGCTGAAGGTTATTCTGCTATCTCTTTGTTGCACTTCTTAGACAGTTCGATAAGTTTGCTGTGATTAGTTGTTTAGTTCCTCAACGTTAGGCTTTG